AGTGCGTATCCAAGCCAGCGCAACTTATTCACTGCTAGCCTAATTATTACTACCTAGCGCTCGCCTATTCACATCATCGTTGCGAACGCCCTGATGCCATCCGACACCAGCAATAGTTCGCAGACAACCATGATCAATGATTAGAACGCGCATCATATCGTCGAAGTAATGAGGTTACTACTGTTCAAGCCTTCCTTTCATTTGTTACGTGCGATCACCGTTGCCTTCGCAATTTAGCTCACATCTGGTGGGAACACCGCGTGAGGAACGAGCGTGTTCGACGCTTTGTTTACGGCACAGGAAAAGGAAATGAACCGCTCAGCACCGTTATTTCACGCACCAGGCTCCGATGGCTCGGCCACGTGTTACGCATGCCAGCCAAATGACTCCCGCGACATGCGTTGTTTGCGCGCCGGAAGTGTGGATGGAAGGAGAAGAGAGGTGGCCAAGTGATGACTTGTTCAAGAGGAATGAAGGCCCTCACCTTGAAGCTCCCTCAGTTGGAGCGTCTCGGCTCCCTGGTTGGGGTCCGAAAGACGATGAACACGTTTTGCTGGATACACTTGTTGATATGACTATGAGGCGACCTCAATGACGTTCGTGCTGTGAGTTTCTTTGTCCCACCCCATCCTTCTTAGCCTCCCCCTCCAACTACGATCTCATTATTTAACATTTTATAATTTTGCATAGTAAATTATTTTTTTTCTGCTGCATAGTAGCCGGCTGGTAGCTTACCGGAACGATGCCCATCCGTTACCGGTGGCTCAGCTGGCTTGCACCTGTTTCATTTTATTCCCTTTTTAGGTATTGTGGCACAGTAGCTGAGGTGTTTCCCACCTCTAGATAACGTGTATAGTGTGTGTCCTTCCATCTGATTTCCCCTCTTACACCTTATCATCTCGTTCCAAGCCAGCAGATGACACAGTATAAAGGCATGAATAAATTAGCCGAGAGAGTGTCAGGCGTGTACGTATTGTCTTCACGTATAGAGGTCTCGAAATTAACCACATTATTGGTGGGTGACCTCCGAAAATTTCACAGTTCTGTGGCGCATTTCGCACTGGAACTCGCACTCTTGTCTATCCTTTAACATTCGCTTCATTAAATTTACTTACTCTTCCCTTTCGATTATCTCTTAACATTCGACTTATTTTCTTGCCAATTTTCCTCCCAACTGACATATGTTAACATCTCGACGACACGCGTCGTCGATGCCCGGATCTTAGTGATTTTATCTGTACTAGGCCAGACATACAGTTGATGAAATTTGAATCTGTGATCGATACAGCTGTTGTTATGTTCCCTGTCGATGCTTGTTTCGAACCAGTAAATTTAAAACTGGTCTACTCCTTTCTAACTTTCTTTTCACGTGTTAATGTACCGAAACCAACTTTAATCAACCCTGCACTGACTAAAGGAACTCAGTTGAACTCGATGGTTTATGAATTCTGGCTTTAGGCTCCGTTCTGACTTCACACTTCCCGCACGATCTGTGCTCGAGGTTAGGGACTGTCCATCTGAGCCTTCCAACACTGGAACATTGCCTGCAGGCCTCAGGCGCCGCTTCACGTTGATGAAGATCCTCTTGGGAGCAGTTTTCGTGGCGGTTGCAAGCTGTTCTTCGAAGCTTCTACGTTTTTTTGTTTTCGCGTTGTTGCAGAGATTTCGCTGTGCCTTGTACGCATTGTAGTCCTCATCAGAGCCAGATAAAACGAACTTGTTCCATAGTCTGCGTCGCCATCGGGTCAGTTTGCTGTACTCCTTGTCGTCCCAATGTGCTTTGACTGGCCCAACTTTCCAAAATTTGAGGGGTACAAATCGGGTGCACAACGATTTCACTCCCTCTTTAATGATAGTCCAACGGGTTTCAGTAAACGAATCCTGTGGTAGAGACCAGTCCATTTGGTTCGCTGATCGAATGAGGCCCTTAAAGTTTGCCTTCCAATAGTTGAAGGCTGGCTCCCGCGGGGGAGAATACGGCAGCGGTAGTTCCAAGTTGGCTATGATCATCGAGTGATCACTCGCTCCCAGTGACTCTAAGACTTGAATGTCATGCACACTTTGCTCATAACTGGTCAAAAGCAGGTCTAAGCACGATGGAGTCGCGCGCGCAGTTATGCGTGACTTTTGGTTGATATGCTGTGTAGCCCCGGTTTCAAATAGTAACTCCATCAACTTCCTCTCGACTTCACAGTGGCCGGGGAGAAGTTCAGCCTCAGGCCACTGTATTCGGGGCAAGTTGAAATCGCCAATGGGTAGGAACATCTGACGACTCGTGTGGTTGCGGACCTGCGGCAACCAGTCCAAACAGCGGCTCAGTGGACTGCGATATACCACGCCCACGAGCATCTCTCAGCTTCTGAGGTGAATCGAACACCATAACTGCTCAAATAGACCATCAGCGCTTCGGTAGGCGCTCACTAGTCTCACACACAAGGAAGACTTTATGTAAAGTAGAACTCCACCTCGATCAGCTGATTGTCTATCACAGCGGAAGCATGAGTAGCCGCTGATTTCCACTTCTTGGGTGGTTACGTCGGAATTTAACCATGTCTCAGCAAGGCCTAATATGTCTAGTCGCTGAGAGCTTACAAAGTAGTACAGCTCATCGCGCTTGTTCATCAGACTGTAGACGTTAGTAAAGACTACGCGCAGGCCGCGGTAGGAACCGCTGCACGCGCCTGAAGCATCAGGAACCTGTTGATCCAGATTCGCGGAGGAATCTGGGTAACTACCCGAAAATTTGTAATACGGAGATTTGTTTCTCTAGCGTCCGTGCGTCGCTTTTGTTCAAACATCGCAGACTTGAGTTTATCTCTGTCTGCTGGGTCTAAGTCACATATATTTTTTTCAACGGTCTACGAATAGACATAAAGCCATCAGAAACCATGGGACTCAAAAGAAGGTACAGCAATAGTAAAAGAAAACACCACAAAACACATCAAATCCATGATTTCGTCAGAGGGCGAGATACTACCCGATTGCCCAAGCCGAAGTAGAGTGTTGATTTAGGGGGCACTACCCCGAGCCTTTGGCTGAATAGCCTGCCCGCAAGGCAACGTAGCACATGCAGGGAATCGCGCCCATTGGGATCCGGTAACTGATTGTTCAGTTCATACGCCTTTCGTTTCTTCCTTTGTCAAACAGGGACCCAATGCTCCCCAGAAATACAGCATAAAGTTGCTGGAATACAATGCTTCGCCAGGATAAAGCATGAGGCAGGGAGTTTATTTAGTGGCGAGTCACGTCCGTCACATCACAGTGTTGTTAAACGGACATATGTGGCTTTTTATAGGGAGAACGCTTGCCAGGCGAAAACCCACCACATCCTGGAACACTGCCGCCGAACCATTTGCTGGAACGGGAAAATCCCGAACCATCCAGCTGGCACCTCGAGGTTGTTCGGCAAGCCAGTCGGGTCTAAGTCAGCGCGCACGTGGATCTTTAGACTTTTCAGTCTATTAAGGCGGGACAATATTAACTTAGGACTTGGCTCTTCGACAAAAGTCACCCTCATAGGTTGATTTTTGCCCTCAGTTCCTTTTCCGAGACGAGCGATCTGTTTCACTTTAAGCCCGCCCTCATCCACTTTGAGCAGTCTATCAATCAGAGTTTGCAAAGACTCGACGTCGTGCTCATAGCGCACCTGAGGATTAAAATCACATGGTTCAGGTGCGTGAAAGACTATGAGGCTGCGGTGCCTCAGCTCGCTTGATATTGTTCTTGCTTTCTTTGGTATTTGCATTTTCCGTTCATTATCACCAATTCGCTTATTGCAACTAAGACCTTTAATCTTAATTGAAGAAATCGTAGGCCTTGAAGGCAAGCCTGCCGGAACGCTGGCACTTTGCTCCAGGGATAGATTCGCTGTTGTACTAAGCGCTGGCTGTTTCTCTGGTTGTGGTGCAGGACAAATCGAGCTGCGCGTTTTAGCGCACTTCGCTCTACTGATCCCCTTGTCAGACTTTTCGGTTCCATTCTGCCCAAAGTTAGACTGATATTGCCTACAAATAGTCTTCAAAAAATCGTGCTAAGTCCCTTGAATTACGCAGAATTGGTCCACAGACAGACCAGTGCACGAAATATGAAACTTTACACTGCATAAACTGCATGTAATCATATTTGCGCGATGTCCAACAACTTTGGAACAAATACCACAAGGTGTCTGCTTTGCCATTCCAAAAATATGCACCGATAGATACGAGTAAATCAGCGTAATGTTGAATCACAGAAATTATAATAAACTAATACAGCTACTTATGATGAACTAAATCCAAATAACTAATTTGAATGAATTACACCAATATCTATAGCATAAAACGACTCTAACAATGAAAAGAACGAGATAAACTCGCCAGACGAGGACACGAATAAAATACGACGAGGGCGGACGAGGACCGAGGCAGACTAGAAAGACTGAATTACTGTCGAAAAAGGTTCTTATAATTTATTACTGGATAATTCAGAACCACAAAAATACCGAATCAAACAATTGAAGACAAAAAATTGCCGTATATGACACAGAAAACCTGAACCTACTGGTCTGGGAGCGGGCGATATATTTCGAACCGGTCGCCGTGGCCTTGACCTTGGGCTAACTCAGAAAAGGTTGTATAAGCGATTTGTTGGGAACTCTCACAACTCAGTTACAAAAATTCTAATACTGGAATAGCATATACTGTGCGACTACTATGCCGCATAAGATCTCCGATGGCAGATTTAACGTATCCTGGCTCCTCTATCCGAACACTACCAGGTCGAACATGTCTATCAGTAGTCTGCTCATGCACTTTGCCTTAACATGGACTGACCACCCAACATCGCTCATCTTATCTTGATGCTTCGAAATAATGTATGCCACTAGTGATTACCCACAGCTATTGTATCGGTTGGAATTTTTATACAAACTGTATGTTTATCCATAGGTACTGCGTGCAACCGACTCTGATGCCTGTTTACCGGTTAGTCTGTTATTTTGCTGTCCGTTTTCATCTCCACAGGTTCGATATTTGTTTTCTGACAAAACCGGAACTCTGACTCGCAATGTGATGGAGTTCAAGCGTTGTTCGATTGGCGGAGTGATTTATGGGTTCGTCCATTTTTACATTCAAACTTTTGTTCTTTACACCGTGATACAGCTTTGCAAATTTCTTCGCTCACAGAGAACACTTCTGCTAGCAGCCGCATGATTTAGCTTCGACTTGGGTATGCTGATAACATTGCCCTAATATGTAACAGCGCTCAAACGTTCCGAGCAGCACTGGACTCTTTAACGCTGGCTTTCAACCACTTCGGCTTATGTTTCGCGCCCTCGAAATGCAAAGCCCTTCTCTAAGATTAGGAGAGACCAACTCCCGCGCTAACCTCTCTTGGTGATCAACTAGAAGTCGTCCAGAAATTTAAGTATCTAGGCTTATACATTGATGCCTGTAGAACATCACGACGCATATATTCAAAGTTGGAGGTACTTTTGCTAACCTCCGTCACCTATGGCGCCTACGTAAGATCACTCGTTCTGGTGGGCAGAGTTTACAATGCAGCCATCCATTCAACTCTCCTGTCATTATCATTATCATCAACAGCAGTACATCAGCCATTTGAACTGATGCTTCGCTGCCATACAACCATGAGGACCTATGAAATAAAGAATAAGAAGAGGGATAGAAGGGGGATTTACCAAAAACCTTAATGCCCTAAGCAAACATTCTGGGTCAAGGCGCCTACACCTTGTGTAGACAACATACCGTCACAAACAGCTGGTTATCGTTCAAAGATAAGGCGGCATCGGCGAGACAGCTTCCTTGCAACTTTCACTGCCACGCGTCATAATCAGCCATTACGCCGCAGATAACCCAGCACCAAACACACTTTAAACAGGCAATCCGATTGGGAGACGGCAGCAAACGGGCCACTGGTGTCGGCTGCGAGCCATGTCCTGTAAAGTCTCGAGCCAAGCACAAGGCGAGTCACGTGGACTGCAACCCGGAAGGCGAGACGGACCAACGGCACCCAGCTTGGTCGTCAGTGACTTCATTTCCCGCTGCCAAGTCAACTTCTGTCCACCTCGAGCCTTGCGCCACCCTACAACTGGTAGACTAAACAAGGCCCTCCTAAGTAAGCGGTGACCAAGCATATGCAGCACGTGCCCGAGAAAAAGCAACTTACCCAGTGCTATCTGTTGTTTTAAAGAGGTAGCATGATTATCACTACCTAGTACTCGCCTACGCACATCATCGTGGCGGACATGCTGGTGCCATCCGACACCAGCAATGCTTCGCAAACAACGATGATCAAAGACTTGAAGGCGCGTCAGATTTTCAGACCGAAGGGGCCAAGTCTCACTACCATAGTGCAGAACGGCCCTCACTGTGGCCTTGTATACACGACCTTTCAGACGGAGGGAAATTCCCTTCTGTCGCCAAAGATGCCGCAAGTTCAAGAAGGCAGCTCTGGCTTTTGCAATGCGTGAGTTGATGTCAGATTCTATGCGCCCATCATTGCTGATGCAACTGCCAAGATAAGTGAATTGATCAACCACCTCGAGTTCCTCGTTATCAAGCGTCAATGGGTCATCAAGTGGCTGGTGGTCCTGCAGCAACACTTTGCACTTTGAAGGTGCGAAGAGCATACTAAATAATGGGACCACTCTGGACAGGCTATGCAGGGTTGATTGTGCCATCGCAACATCGTCGAAAAGCAAGACGATGTCGTCCGCATAATGTAGATCAGCTAACCTTTCACCAGGCAGCACTTCAACGCCTACATCGTGAGATTCTGCAAGGGAGCACTCCATGACAGAATCCCCGACGAAATTGAACACAAATGGGGAAACCGCGCAATTATTTCGTACGGAACCGATCGATCGACTGAATCGAACACACCCTTGAAATTGTGCAACACAGCTATTGTCGGTTTGCGATATGCGGGGCGCAGCTCCAGCACCTGCCGCAAGGTGAATATATGATCTATACAGCCACGTCCTGGGTGGAAACCGGCCTGCTCCTCCCTAATCCGAGATTCCCGTTCTGCAGTGAGGCGACGAACGAGAATCGAGGCCAATAATTTTGTCACAACTGGTGTTAGGCTAATGCCCCTGTGGTTAGAACATTCTGTGCGACTGCCCTTCTTGTATATTGCCACTATAATCGATTCGCTCCAATTAGCCGGGACACTCTTCGTTCCAGATACGTTCGAATAGAGAGGTCAGTGCTTTGCAGAGGACCTCACCTCCATTCTTAAATAGTGCAGATGGGAGGGAATCCGTGCCAGCGGCGCGAAACTGTGATCGCGTTTCGCACCTCGGCCTTCGACGGAGGCTCTAAACTAACCGTCCATGGTTCCTCCTTCATCACCTGAGTAGGAAGAGGTCCGGGAGCAGGGGGCCAGCTGAACTGAGCTTGGAAGTTTTCCGCCCAACGAGCCATATGACGCTCCTTATTGTGTATCAGCGCACCTGCGCGGTCTCTGTTTGTCTCACTGATGCCTAGTTTTCTGGGACCAGTGGTGCGGATTAGTTGTAAGAGCTTCCGGTAATTGCCTACTGCTCCTGCCTCCTCCATTTCTTGAGCCCGTCTGGTCCACCAGGCTTCCTTGTCAGCACGTAGGCTCTGCTTTAGTTCACGCCTAATAACCCGTCTGGTCACATTGTGTTCAGAGCCCGCCGCTAGGTGTCTTCTAGATTCCAACAGGTTCACTGACCTCTCGGATATCCAGTGACTGGTGCGGTGACGAAGGATAGTGCCACAAGCAGATGCTCCTGCGTCGTGCTTAGCGGCCAAGATCCTATTCCACTGAAGCTCAGTGTCATTAGGACAAGACAGCGGAAGTTCGGTATGCATTGCTTCTTGATGGGCTTGCCTGACCGAGGACTGAGACAATTTCTCCGTTGCTAATCGTAGGGGACACTTGGTGCGCCGCTCGGTAAAGTTCATGGAAAAACGACAGCGTACCAAGGCATGATAAGAGTCGACGCAGGTACTCCAGTACGAGCGGCAATCCAGGATAGAAGAACGCCATCTCTAACTTATGGCTATGCGGTCAATTTCAGTCAATCGATGGCCAGCTACATGTGGACGTCAAGTGGCACTTCGGCGCCCACTGTGTCTAAAAGCAGTGCTATTAAGAAATAACTAGTGCTCCACACGCAGTTGCTGCAGACGCTCGCCGTTATCAGTCTGTTCGGAGTTAAGCGCACAATTATTACCCAGCTAAGCTTCTGCTGAGTTCAGACGCCCTACTTGTGCGTTCATATCCCCTGCAAGTACTATAATGTCTGAGCTAGTAGCACTGCGTAGTAACGCGTTCAGTTCCTCATAGAATGTGTGCTTGACAACATCTGAACTGCATTCGGGAGGATCATAAGCGGAAAGCACAAAACAAACAACATTTTGCACTACTTCCTGAATCAATCTTAGCTGATGTCGTCAAACCGGCTGCACATAAACGGCTATTCACCGAAATCCAATCAACCATTGATGGCACAGCGTTGGAGCTTAGAATGATACCTACACCAGCTTGACTCGTGAGTGCTGCATTGGCGTCTCCGGGTGCGTGCAACAAATACCGAGAGGATAAGCCGGGTGCAGTTCATTCAATAACCCCGTTAGAGTCCTTGATCTTAGTTTCCGATACACAACACACATCAATACCCAGTGTGTCCAAGGTGCGTGCGAGTGCAGCCTATTGACCTGTTTGTCTTAAAGTGCGGACGTTGAATGTCGCCATGGAAACGGGATAGCGTGGCCTTATAAAGGACTTTTGCCGATAGGCGTCCGATAGGTGCTGTGGGATGGTGACTACAGATGGTTCTACACCAGTGGCAATTCGGTTGCTGTCAAGTAAGCTGGGAATTATAGAAGGAAGGTTAATGATGGTGGTAGGGATGGGAGTAAGAGAAACAGGTGGAAAAGAAAGAAGAGAGGCGCCAGCATTAGCATGTTTTCGCTTATCCGCCCTGCTGTATGCAGCAGATAAGGTGACCCTTGATAATCTGCGCGACGGCCGATGCAGGATGAAGTTTGTTTGAAGAAAATGTCATGGTTGTATGTGGGCTGGGATACTGCCAGGGCGCCCAGACCTAGACAGGAGGACGATTACGGTCCTCATCCAAAGCCTGTCCGCAAGACAGCGGGGAGGTGGGAATGATTTAGTTTTACGGAATGGGACGCCGTCCTATTTCAAACCCCCAACCTGTAGGACCAGGAGACTGAATTTGTCTGACCTCTCACCATTGACCAACCTGGTGGGAGTAGCTGTCAAGGTGCCCGGAGGCATCACCCAGTATAGCTCAATAGGTCAGTGAGGTACGCAAACCGTCGCACCACATTAAGGTCCAGTCTCGTTGCGACGGATCCCTCCTGTACGGTTGCGAAACTTAGCCCATCAAGTCGACATACTTAAAGACGCTTGTTACGTTCGACCATCGCTGCCTTCACAACTTAGCTCATGTTTGGTGTGAGCACCGCGGGAGCAATGAGCGTGTTCGGCCTCGCGCATTTGGTGCAGGAAGAGCGAGTGAACCGCTCAGCAGCAGTGTATTACGCACCATGCTCCGATGGTTGGGCCACGTGTTGCGCATGCCAACCCACCAACTCCCATGACGTGCGTTGTTTGCGCGCCAGGGCTGTTCATGGAAGATGTGGGGAGGCTAAGTGATAACTTGGTCAAGAGGATTGAGGTCCCACATTTCGCCGGTTGGTGTCTCCCAACTTTCGGGCTCGAGTCCGAAGGACGCTGACGACATTTGGTTTGATACGCTAGTTGACATGGCGAGGAGCCGATCTCCATGAGTTTCTTTGTCCCTCCTTCTCCTGCTTAGCTTACCCCGCCATCAACGATCTCAAACCCTATGCATAATGTGATTTACTTTTCTATATTTTTTGTAGTCTCTAATGTTTAATCTCTTATCTTTTTTGTATTGCGGCACATTAGCTGTTTGTTTCTCACCCTCAGCTGACGTGTATTTATGATGATTGGTGTCCATTCGGTCTTAAAAGGGTTCGATGCTGTACGTGATCTTCTGGCACCTAAGACAACACGGTATCCTCACGCAGTTGTTCATCCGTATGCTGTTTCACCTCGATCATGCTG